GGCGGGGGTGGGTGGAGGCTGCGCGTCATTATCATGCACGGCACTGGCCGCTTCGGGCTCCAACTCTTCTCACTTGCTAATCCTTGAGGGCTGAGCGGAGACCGGCTCTTGCAGCCTATTTTGCGTTAATGCGACGATTTCCTTTTTGAAAATTCTCGTCTTCGGGCCGGGGCCAGTAAGGTTTCTTTGGCGAGCTCCGGAGAGGCTCGTTTGGGGGAATTTTTTTCTGGGCACAGGACTTTTATGTGTCCGCAGGGCTTGATGTTCTGCAAATCGAGGCGACAGATGGGTCACAGCTTCTCCCCTTTTCGTACCCCTGCCATTCCCCTGCACGCGCGCACACACAGACACACACACACACACACTCTCTCTCTCTGTCTCACACGCTCTTCTGATGGGAGAACCTGCTGCAGGTGGCGGGTTGTGCCCGCCCAAGCGAGGGCCTTCTGTCTGGTGTGCGCGCCCACAGCTGCCAGCCCAGCTCCAGGGGGCTCCCTCTCTTGGTTGTAGACGCTGTCTTTGTAAACATGTCTGCCTTTCTCTATCATTTATATCAGAACTGTGCATGTGTCTGTGCGAGGAGGAATGAGGTCAGGATTCAGAAGACCTAGCCCTTGTGCATTAACTAAATTAAGCACTAGATAGCTTGCCTGCTGGATCCCGTTTTGCCTGGAGGCTAACAGAACCGTAGGTTCAGAACTTTTCAAGGAGAAATTATGGTCTCATTGAATGGTTTAGTAATGTTCTGGTAGAGTTAAGAAGTGAACTATGCTCCTCTTAAAGAAATGGCATATGTTTATGTCCAGTTGTAAATAACTGGAGCAGGAATGCAGGTAAATAATGATAATACCTCTACGTTCATTTTACGATTAGGAGTTTCTGACTTATGCTCCTCATTTTTCAGGAGAGTAAGGTTTGTAGAAAAATGCTTATTTTATTGTTTATTTTGTGGTCTCCACGATAAATACATCATTTGCAAACACTACAGCTCTTGCTATCCTTTACCACATGAATACTATCTTGCAACGCAGCCTGGATATTTGTTTCAAAATGTATCACAGCTGTTGTATTTTTTTCTTTGTATACTATTATCTGTCAGTGTGACATGGTTTGCTTATTTATAACCAGATTCTTTAAAAAAAATGTGCACACATTACAGAGTTCTTTAGATGGCTGGTTGTATGCAATAACTGTGTATATCCTAGTAAAACAAATAGTTACTAGACGATTAATTTGACTTGAATGCAATTAGGACATTAGACAAGAGAATTAGCTGCTTTTATAGACTACCTAATATTGCCATGACTCAAGCAAATTGATTGTTTCAAAGGTTTCGTCTTTTACAATGTACTGAAAAATGTTAATTCCTAAGTTAGAAAGAATTATTCAGGCTAATTCGCATATGCTTCAGAAGTTAAAAGCGCCTTCTACCTTCACCCCCACACTCAGTAAAATATATTAAATTTAAAATGGGATGTCCATATTAAAATTGTAAAACATCAGTTAACATGAATTAGATCAATTTACTTACTTAGTTGAGTGGGAAAAGAGAATTAATTTTCATTGGGAGGTGATTGCCTTCATTTAAATAGTTAATGTGAGAAGTGTGCTTATGGGGACGTGTATTAGTTCAGGTCTAAAGGGATGAAAGGAATAAAACTGGAGAGAAAGAGAATTTTTCCACTCTAGAGAAAGAAGGTGCTATGCAGAAATGAAAGGTATTCACAGCTGCATGTGATGTGTTCAAGCACAAAGTAGCTGCAAAATGTAGTTCAAGCGAACGGAAAGGAAAAAAGACACTGCTTAATAGGCTCTTTACATATTGACTCCTTTTGGTTTTGAACCAGACTATATGTATGAAAATTCTCTCCTTTCTTTTTGATTTCTCCTTGTTTTTACTTTTTGCAGTTAGTATAATAAATCAATTGCATATTTTAAACTCTGGTATGTTTTATGAACCACATTAGTTCACAAATAGGATGACATAAAATGCTTAAGCCATGATGGTTAAAATGGAAATGTATTTATTTCAGTCAAACAGCATCATAGGGCAATTACCTTGAGTTTTGTTAAATTACATTTAAATACGTTTGTTTAATATACACGAACACATACATACACAAACACACAGTGGCCAGAAATGAACCACCTCCATTGTGATCTTCTTTGCGCCAATGAAAGGTCTTTTGATACGTAAAAACTATGCAATTTTGAATTATGTTTCCACTTTGAGCCTGTGCATTGATTAATTTCATCAGAACCACATTACTTGATTGCTTAGAAGTTTCCTAATGATCTGCATGCTGTAGAAAGAACCAAAAAGTCGTGAGTGGAATGACAATGATATTGTGTTTTATGGGGCTATTCAGAAGTCGCTGTGATTTATGTAGCTGGAAAGCTCCAAAGTCTTTGAGATTAGCCACGCTGACTGCTATTTTCTTCATACATCAGTCGTCCTACACTCTTTACTCCCTAAACACAACAGGAGTTTAGAGCCCTGCTTTAATTAAGCAGGGATTAGGTGGCATTTCCAGTCAACTGCACAGTTTGTGTTTTGCTTCCTATCTAATATGGAAGATCTCATATTTTAACAGTTTAATATATGCTCATTTCTTTATCTGGTTTCTGTGCTTACAGATCTGAGTATAAATTAAATGTCTTCAGTTATATATCTCTACAAAGGAACACTGTACTTATTCATATCTTACACAAATTACTAGCATATTTTGGTTGTTATCAGTCATAGTAAAATACCTTATGTCAACAGGAACTAGGAAAGAACCATTTATTCATGTTTTTCTCATAAGCAGATGATACTTTGTGCTGAGATCGTAATCATTAACTATGACATGTTTGAGAAGCCTAAGACAACCCACAGAGTATTTCCAACATGAGAATGTTCACATTAAAGTACCTAAGTGAGTTAATGAAATGTATCAGCATATTAAAGACAGTAATAGATGATAAGTTTAAGGCACCGATTTTTCTTAACTTCTGTACTGAAGACTGTTTTATCAAACACAGACTGTAACAACATTCCCAGCTGTATTATGTTTTCTATCAAAATGTTTCTTTTTCAGTTCTTCACACATGATTTGCATTGGTTAATGATAGCCCCCAGGAGTCATTAAGGACTCTTTGCACTGTGTGAGAGAGCTCAGTGATTTTTTTAAACCTTTGGCTACTTATAGTAGGGGTTTGGTCCCTAAGTTCTGGATAACAGTGTAAAAGTCTAGAAAGTATTAAGAAACATGTTTATTCTTTTCTTCATAATTCATGTCATTATTTTCAGTACAATTTGAGTATGCATTAAGCTAGACAATGTTGCTATTAATCAAAGATATCAATTATGACAAGACTAATAAGCCACTATGCTAAGGATCTTTGCTTTCTCCTCTAAGTGAAATGTTCACCTACTGAATATCTCCTACAAATTTAAAATCACACATGAATAAAAATCAAGTTGATTCACTTTTATCTTATCCAGAAACAGAAACCAGTTGAAATTGTTGGAAGCAATGGAAGATATGTTTCATTCCATTCAGATCTTTAAGCCTAATTTTATCATACTATAAGTTTATCTTGAAGGGGTATCATAATTTTAAAACTACAATTTTTTATCTTGAATATTTCTTCTTCCATGTACATGCATTTATTTTCAAAAAGTAAGGTAATTATATTTACTTTAGAGCCTCATAGTATGTATTTCAGATTATAGACAAAGCATATTGGTGAATAGCATACTTAGTATTGTTACAAACTAATGTTTATTAGAAAATACATATATATGGCCTATAAAGGTATCTTTGCCATTAGGTGTCACTGCATTCTGAGCTGTTTCTTTGTAGTCCCACTTGAAAATCACCTGAAGTATTTTTTGAATTCTCAGGAAAAAAGTCACTGAATGAGGTTTTTGGTGGCATAAGATGAAGGTGGTTTTTATTTTCAAACCAAGAAAGTGAACGTTATCCCTGTCTATTATTCTGGTAAGAATTTACTTCTAAGACTTATCAACACTTGGTACTCTCTAAACCAGGTGTCCTCAAACGATGGCCCATGGGCCAGGTGCAGCCCACCAAGGACATTTATCTGGC